TAAGTAAATAATAATAATAATAATAATAATAAATAATAATAATAATAATAATAATAATAATAATAATAAAGATAATAAATAATCATGAAAAAGTCGAAAGAAACAAAAAAAAAAAAAATTAAAAACTCGAATATGCATTTAAAAAAAAAAAAAAGTCTATTTTCACGTCGTCGAATTTAATGAAATTAAATGAAATCTGCTAAAAAAAAAAATAATAATAATAACGTGATGATGAATGTAATAATAATAATAATAATTATTGAATCTATCACCACCATCACCATCATCATCATCATCATCATCATCATTAACACAATCACCATTCGCCATTCACACGCAATTCACTTTCTGCAATTTTTAAACGTTTTCTTCTTTCACACGTGAAAATAAAATAAAATAAAAAGAAAGAAAGAGAAAGAAAATAGAGAAAAGAAAAAAAATAAATAAATGAACGAACGAAAATAAAAAAAAATGAAACAAACAAAATGCCGGAAATTAATAATGATAATAATTTTTTTTTTTTTGTTAAACAAATGTAAATTTATTTATTTTATTTAAAATTATTTAATTATTTAAAAATTCCTACTAGACGAACGGCATGCTTCAGCTCCTCTAAAAAATAATAATAATAAATAATAAATAATAATAATGAAAAGAAAATAATAATAATAATAATAATAATAATAATAATAATAATTAAAATGATTGGAGCAAATAAACAATATAAAAAAACTAATGATGGCAAAAAAAAAAAAAAAAAAAGAAAACATGGACGACAAACATTAAAAAGAAAAAAAATTTTATTTTTCTATATTTCTATCTCAAAAGATGCTCACAAATTTCAAATTTAAAAAAAAAAAATTGCGCGGGAAATTACTAGTCACGTGATAAAATTTGAAAAATGGAAAAAAAAAAGAAAGAAAAAAAAGGAGTTTGTTTTGTTTGATGCTTATTTGGGGTGGGAGTGGAAGTGGGGGAAGAGGGTGAGGCGGGGATATGTCGTTAACGCAAATAATTAAATAAACTTATTTAAAATAATATTAATAATAATAATAATAATTAAATTTTAAATTTGGAAAAAAAAAATTATTTATCATGTTTCGAACGATAAAAATGTCGATGTTTGAGATTATCCAATTATTTTTTTATTTTTTTTGGGGGGGAATTTCAATTCGGGGAGGATTTAATTAATCTTTAAAACGATTGTGTGTGATTGTTTAAAAAAAAAAAAAATTAAAATTTATGAATATTCGTTCTAGAAAATTCGATTAAAATGATGATAAGAATTAATTTTTTTTTTTTTTTTTTTACGTAAGTTAAACATTTCGGTTAAAATAAAAATAAAAATATTATCGGATTAAAAATGATGGTCGGATCGTTTATCGTCATCAGATTTTATTGTTGAATAAAATTTAAAAAATGAACGGACTCAACGATCCGACCAATCACGTCTATTATTTTAAAAAATAATTAACAAAAATTTTGGATTAGTTTTTTATACGTTTATCGCGTTCGATACGTATTTGATTATTTTGTAATACGATTTCTATTTTATTTATTTATTTATTTTTCCCCTCCACTTTTTTTTTTTTTTTTTTAAATTTTGGCAACAATGAAATACTAAAAGTTTTTTTTTTTTCCTCTTTTTTTTCCTCTTTTTTCTCTCTCCGCCATTTTTCATTTTTCCAACCTTTAACTCGTTATATTTATTATTTTATTCTCAAAAGAAAAATACAATAAAAAAAAAAAAAGGAATTTTCCAAGCCAAATTATTATTATTATTATTATCATTATTTAGAAAACCGTTTGTTTTCTTATTCGTTTCGATTTTTCGTTTAGTTTTTTTTTTTTTTTTTTTTATTTAAAATTTTATTGTTTGCGATTTTGACATTCTTATTGAGTTTCCCTTTCCCCCCATTTTTTTTTTATTCCTTAAGAGTTTTTCTTTTCTTTTCTTTTTTTTTCAAGAAGAAGAAGAAGAAGGACCTATTACGGGGGGGGGGGAAACAAAAGTGCATTCTTAATCTTTTATTATTATTATGTTTATTTTTTATTTTCTCGAGTGTATCTTTTTTTTTGTTTGTTTATTTGTTTATTGTCGAACCGAAAAAAGAAATCGTTTTGCAAATTATTATTATTATTATTAATGAATTTAAAAAAAAGAGGGGGTAGAGAGAGAGAGAGAGAGTAATTATTTCACAAATGACAATTTTTTAAAATTTATTTATTGATTTATTTTCGCGTTTGTCGAAACAAACGTCGTTTGTTTTTTATAATTTTTTATACAAACCGCCGCTCTCTTAACTATTTTATTATTATAATAAAAGTTTAAAAAATTTAACCAAAAAAAAAAAATTCGCCAATGTTTAAAAGGAAAAGTCAATATTGTAAATTGGAAAAACCGAAGAATAAAAATTCGAATGTGAGAACGAGAGAAAGAGAAAAAGAGAGAGAGAGAGATAGAAAGAGGGAAATTATTTAAAAATTTAAACAGGATGGAAAAGTATCCAGTAAAAAACGATTAATTTTAAACGAACAAAAAATAAATGGACCGTTTACTTTTATAAGTAATTAAAATTTATATCGAACGTTACAAATAATGTAAACCAAAAGGAAACGGAAATAACAGAAAATAAAAGAAAAAAAAAGAAAAAACTTTTTCCTTTTTTTTTTTTTTTTTTTTTTATAAATTAATTTTCTAAAATGGATTCCGATGTAATCCAAACTCGCTAATGCATTTTTTAAACTTTTTCTTTTTTTTTCTTTTTCCAGTAAATTTATAGCGAAACGATTAAACTAGTTTGTCGAAATAGTAAAAAAAAAAAGAAAAGTGGTTTAAATTTTTAAAAATGTATTAAAAATTTCATTAAAAAAAAAAAAAAAAAACTTTCCAAATGTTGTAAATAAGTATGAGTGTAAGTGCGTACGTGCGTGCGTTTTCGTGCAAACATTAATTGTAAACCATTTTGTTTTTTGTTAAATTCGAATATAGATAAAAAAAAATTATCAATTAATTAATTAATAAAATTTAAAAATAAAAATGGCACCGCAAATTTAAAAGAAAAAAAAAAAAGGCGACGAAAATTTTTTTCAATTTTCGCAATTTTCTCTCCATTTTCTTTTTATTTGACTCTCTCGGGGGGCATCGACTTCCTTTTTTTTTTAATTTTTAATTTTACTTATCATAAAATTGCGTAACGACCGGGAGAAAAAAGGGGGTGGAAAGGAGGGAAGAAAAAGTGCGTGTCGATTAATTTTTAATAATATCGATTTAAAAAAAAATACAAAATAAAATTGTTTTAAAAACTTCGCTATAAAAGTTCTTAGAAAAAAAAAATGTTTTTAAACTTTCGCTATAAAAGCTCTTAAAAAAAAAAAAATGTATATTTACGTATAAATTGTGAGCATCTTTTTCGAAAATCGGGAAAATTTTTTTTTTTTTTTAATTTTTATTTTTTGTGTGTGTGTGTGAAAAATTTTAAATTAAATTTCGCGCCAAAAGCGAGAGCGTATCGAACACGGGGTACATTTCCTGATCGAAACGAAATTGGGGAGGGGGGATGGGAGGGAGGGAAGGGAGGATGTACGTGAAATGACGATTCTTTGTTTTTTTTCAAGTATATAAACAAATGACCCATTTACAATTTTATTCTTATTTGCAAGAAATGAACCCCGAATAAAATTATTTGAAAATCTGCCCTCCTCTCCCCTGCCCCCCCCAAAAAAAAAAAATTATTACCCTTCGTCTTCAACGGATTTTTTTCCATTAAAAAAAATTATTTTCATAACATGATAATTAAAAAAAGTATTTTTCATAATTAATCACAATTCGAAAAAAATTTTTTTTTTCGAGGGAGTAAGAGAGGGGGAGGAGGAGTGCGTCGGTAAACGGGTGGGGAAGGGGGAGGGGAGAGTATAAATTAATTAATAAAGGTTATTAATTTTTTTAAATATATATATGTAAAATTTTTAAAAGTGCAATCAAGCAAATTTAAAAAAAAAAAAAAAAAAATTAATCATCGTGTTATGAAAAAAAGCTTCATACGTAGTTAACAATTCTCTTGATTATTATTATTATTATTATTATTATTATTATTATTATTATCATTATGATTTGTTTTTTTTCGAATAAGGTGTTCATTATAAAAAACTTTATCGAATTATATAAATTCGTGATAAGAAAAAACATGTTAAATAAATAATAATAATAATAATAAAGCGTCATGATTATATTATTATGATACTAATTATAATTAATTAACGGTTTTTTTTTTCAAAGTAAAATTTAACTCTCGTTTAATTACAATATTATTATTATTATTATTATTATTATTATTATTATTATTATTATTATTATTATTATTATTTAGTCGTGGCATGTTTAAAAGTTATATTTTAATTATAACGAGAGTTTTAAAAAAAATATATTTTTTTTTAACGATAATAATACTAATGATAATAATAATTCTTTAACGAAGTGGAAATTTTGTGTTTTTTTTTGGGGAGGGGCGGGGAAGAGGAAGGGGGGACATGCAAGAACGATGTTTTTGTCTGTCGATTTTATATAACACAACCGACAGAACAAACTTAATGGGGAGCTTTTAATTTTTTTTTTTTTTTTTTTTTTTTTTCAAAACTAAAATGACTAAAAAAAATAATGAAAGAAAATGAACGAATGCAAATTTTGTTTATAAAAAAAATAATAATAATAATAAAACTAATAAATTTTTAATGTCGTTTCATCTACTATGCTTAACTTATGGTTGTTTTTTTTTTTTTTTATTAATTTTTTCATTGTTGGCAAGCTTCATTCAAGACTCTATTTTTTTTTTTTTTTCAAAATTAAGCAAAAAAAAATTCAATTCAATTCAATTCAATTTCAAATTATTCTACATAATTATTAACTATTAACTTTTTTTTTTAAATTTATTAAATTTATTAAATTAATTAATTAATTAATAAAAAAAAATTTTTAACGGGTTTTTTTGTACCATTTTGACTTCACTCAGGGATGATATCGAAAGGACGTACATGGTGATTCCCACCTCCACCGGTGTACCTGAAATAAAAGAGTACACCAAACCTATGTAAAGGGTTTTTTTTTTTTTAGTTTTATTTATTATCAATACCCTTTTAATTGAACATAATCATCATCATCATCATCTACATTATTATTATTATTATTAATAAAAAAAAAAAATTTTAAATCGTTTACGACGACCGTTGAAATGAACCCCGTGTCGATTTTTTTTTTTTTTAATAAGCTAAATAAATTCTTTCTTCTTTGTTTAAAACAAACAAGAAACTTATGTATATGTATTTATTTATGTATTTATTAATTAAATAAAACAAAATAATTAATAATTCTAATTAGTAATAAGTAGTAGTAAGTAGTAGTAGTAGTAGCAGGGTATAAAGAGAGCTGAGCTTAACACATGCCTGGAAGGTAATATTAATAATAATTATGTGATTTTTCAGTTAGCAATACTATTACTACTGTACTTTAATAATAATAATAATAAATAAATAATAAAATAAAATAAATAAAAGAAAGAACACCGGTAAGAAATTATCGTCGTCTGCTTAGAAAAAAAAAAAAAAAAAAAAAAAAAAAAACGTTCGAATTGGGAGGGAAAAAATATTTAAATTCCATATGGATTCCCATTTCGAACGTTTTTAAACTTGGAATGATTTCTCGTTAAAGATGATAAACCGGAAGTAAAGGGATGAATCAGGATTGTAACGAGGGAGGGGAGGGGAGGGGAAAAAGGAAATGTAACGATGAATATGATGAATTCATTCCAAGTTATCGAATTTTTTTTTTCTTTTTTCTTTTTTTTTAACGATTCATCGATCGCGGCATTTAAATATAAATAAAAATAAATAATAATAATAATAATAATAATAATAAAGAGCAAATTAAAAAATAAAAAGAAAAAAAACAAAATAAATAATAAAACGTAGGAAAATAATAATAATAATAAAACGCATCCATTTAAGGAAATTTTTTTTTTTTGTTTTTTGTTTTTAGTACCATTTGAACCTCAGAGAGTGAACTGATGCTGAGGACATACATTGTTATTCCAACTTCCACGGGCGTTCCTGTAATTAATTATTATTATTATAAAAAAAAAAAAAAAAAAATTCAAATCGATCGGGTTGTTTCGTTTTCATTTATTCTCTTCTTTAAAAAAAAAAATTCGAAAAAATAATAATGATAATTTTTTTTTAAACGATCACATCGAAGTGACCCGAACGTGACCTCCCCCCCTCCTTGATAGAAAAAAATTAATTTTCCAAATATTTGTAAATATTGTAAAAAAAAAATATTATTATTATTATTATTATTATTTTTTTTTTTTTTGTTTGTTGACGGATCGTAAGATTCGTTTTAAACGATACCAACAAAAAAAAAGAAAAAAAAAACAAACATGGCGGTCGAAAAAAAAAAAAATTTTTTTTCTTTCTTAATGTTTTTCATCTAGGTACGATGCAGCGAATGCGCTGTTGCATTTTTTCTTTCTTTATTAACGTAGATATATATATATATATACATATATATATATATATATATATATATATATATATATATATATATATATATATATATATATGTGAATTGCCACCCGCCATTTTATTGTTGATTATTGTTGATGGAAAGAAATAAGTTATTATTATTATTATTATTATTATTATTATTATTATTATTTTAATCTTAACCGCTGTCGGAATGATAATGATAATTAAACATAAACTTTTGGTGAGAAGAATGGAAAAGAATGCTCGCATACACACACGAGAGGGTTTTTTTTTTTTTAATAAAACGTATTCGTGATAATAATAACATTATTATTATTATTATTATTATTATTATTACTATTATTATCATTATTAAATACTCTTTTATTAAAAGGTGTAAAGGTTTAAATAAATATAAGTGATGTTATTCACGCCCTTTTTTTTTTTTTTTACTTGCACGCTGTCGTTAAAATTTATAATTAAATCCAACAGCGTATATAATTTATTTTTTGCTTTTCACAAAAAAAAATTATCATTATTATTATTATTTTCGGTTAAAAATCGACAAAAAAAAATTGATTATGAAATTTTTAATAAATTAAGTAAAATGAGATATTTTTATTTTAAAAAATTATCATCATCATCATTATCGTATTATTATAGATTTATATAAGTTAAACGTGAACGTTTTTGTTTCAAATTTTTTTTACTGGAAAATATTTAAGGCGGCGGCAAAAAAATAACGGAAATACGTCATCGCATTAAATTTAAATTAAATAAAAAAAGAGGGATAATGAAAAAAAATTTTTTTAAACTGGAAATCAGAAAAAAAAGAAAAGGAAAGAAGAAAAAAAAGGGAAAAAAGAAAAAATAAATAATTGAAATTTTCCATTAAAAACATTAAAAAAAAAAAAAAAATGGCACTTAAAAAGTGACGAAAAACTTTTCTTTTTTTTTTAATGCCTGAAAAGATGGAAACCGAACGATTAAAAAAAGAAAAAAAAAGAAATTTTTTAAAGAGCCTCTTTTGATTCCTGTCAATAATCTTCTATTTCCGCCATTTTAATTCAAGATTTTTAATACTGTTTACACTTTCGTTTATTATTCAACATTAAGTGGTGATAAGTAAACAACAAAAAAAAAATGAAGGAGAAAAGCTCGGGAGGGGTTAAAAAAACGATGAGAGAGAGAAAGAGAGAGAGAGAGAAAGAAAAGTGTTAAGAGCTCTTTTTTATTAAGAGTAATTTTTTTTCTTTAAACACTTTCCCTCTCTCTCTTTCATTTTCATTACTTTCCTAACACTTTTTCAATAATTATAAATAAATGATGAAAACTTTTTTTTTCTTTTTTTAATGAAAACGTTACGGAAAAATCTCAATCGACCAATGAGAAACGATTATTTAAATAAACTCTTCTGATTGGTCCGCGTTCGGTCTTTATATTTAAATAAATACGAATCTTGTTTCGTTTTTTTTTTTTAATTGAAAAGTGCGTGCGGGTGCGTGTACCACCGGTTCGTCAATGGAATTTTCGATGAAAAAAAGGAATAGAAAAATGAAAACGACAAAGGAAATTATTAAAATTTACCTACAAAGGAAAATAAATTAAAAAGAAAAAAGTTTACGAATGGAATGAATGGATGAAAATTTTTGATTTTCGTGATTGTAACAAATGAAAATCTTGTAATTTATCTATAACCGACAATTGCTCCTGATGCCGATGCTGCTGCTGCTCCTGTTTTTAAATCCAACAGTAAAAAAAAAACCGTCTCATTAATCTTTCGATCGGTAAAAAAAAAAGGGAAACTTTTCCTTTCTTTTCTCATATATTATTTTCCTTTTTCTTTTTCCTTTTTCAAATCACGAATTCGAAAATATATATATATATATATAACGTTTTTTTTTCCAATGTTGCCATATTGAAACCAATAATGTTTTGATTTTAACCCAAGGCCGAATCAAAAATATATATGTATATAAACATTTTCTTTATTCATTTCAAATAATGGATTCCCGGAAAATAAATTTTCCAAAAAAAAAAAAAATTTATTTGAGATATTTATTACCGTAACGTTTTATTTATTTATTTATATAAATAAATTTATATATAAATTTAAAAAAAAAAAAAGGGGGGGGCCTTAAACTAATTTACTCAACTATCGCTTTATAAAGATTTTGAAAATCTTTTTTTTTTTTTTTTACGAAAAAAAAAAGAAAAAGAAAAAGAAAAAAAAGGAAAATATAAAATTGATTTTTATTTATTTTATATATATAAAAAAAAAAAAAATTATCAATAATGACCTTTTCAACGAAAAAGAAAAAGGAAAAGAAAAAAAGGAAAAAAAAAAGGTTTATAAAAAAAAGGGTAAAAGAAAGCAATTTTATATATTTTCAAATCCTACGTGACAATATTCAAAATAAATAAAAAAAAAAAAAATATTTTTTTTACTTTTTTTTATAAGTTTCGGTTAAATCCTCGAGGATTAAAAAAAAGGAAAAAAAGGAAATGTATGTGTGTGTGTGTGTGTGTGTGTGTGCAAGTGCGCGGACGTTAAAGTGTTGAATTAAAATGGTTGGATAAGATATACAATGGGAGTTTTTTTTGTTGCTTTCTAACAGTTGGAAAAATAAAATTTTATTACGAAAAGAAATGATGATGATGATAATAAAAATAATGGTTTAGACAAAGAGTGGGGTACAATTGCATTCCGAGAATTGGCGTGACTGCGAGATCATTCACGCTGACAGAATTGTTCCAGTCAACAAACCGGATATGATTCAGAAAGGTGCAATACCGAAAGGTGGTGTAAATAAATTGAAATATCCGTACCGGCGGAAAAAAATCACCAAACGGCCAAAAAAGCGGGCAAAAGGTTGAAATAGTGGCCAGAATGTGGGGGGAGTAAAGACAGAAACGATTCCGATCATCGTGGGAGCATAATTGTGAGTCATGTCTCCTCATTCACTAAAAGGAAATTCGAAGAAGATTTTGAAAAATTTAAAAGAAGAAGAAACCGTACAGGAAATGACGTAACGTAGGAAAAGAACATCAATATTCAAGGACTTAGAAAATCAAGTAGAGACCTGAAACGAAACTTATCGCGATTAGAATTGATAATAATAATAATAATAATAAGGCCTTCAGATGTGTCGTGTCGTCAAAATTTTGTGTACGAATCATTCTTTTGTCAAAACGTCAATTAATTTCATTTATATGCCAACAATATTTGCCACCATCATCACCGCCGTCACCATCACCACCACCGCCGCGGATATTACTTCTTCTTTTGTTATCGTGCGTACACGTAAATTTTTAACGCGCGTATTTACGTATAAATAAAAAATAATTTAGAAGTAAAAGTTGATGTATAATTTATACAAAAGATAGTATAAAGTTTATAAAGTTTTACTCTCGCAGGCTCCGGAATTAAATAAAATCTTTAGATAATTATTTAATAAAAACTTTTCCCTTAAAAATATAAATAATAATGATGATGATGATGATGATAATAATAATAATAATAACGATAAAATGAAGAAAGAAAGTAAAAGCAAAAAATATGTATATATATTTTTTTTTTCATTTTTATTAGTATAACTTTAAAAAATTTTTTTATAAATCGCTTATCAAAAAAAAAAAACTTTTCGTATATATTGAGGTGTGTGCGTGGCGGGGGGGGGGCGAAGGAGGGGGGTCGGTGTAAAAATGGAAAAATATTTTAATTTTATTTAAATAAATAATATTATCCGAAACTAGGTACGATGAGGATGAAGAGGGGAGAGGTGGGAGGAAGGGAGGAGATGAATATCTTTTCCAGTTAAAAAATTTAAAAATGGCGATTGTTTTTTTTTACATCGGTAATATGTCGCATTCCAAGAATTTTTTCACAACAAAAAAACCTCGAAGTAAAATGGAAGACTAACAAAATTCTGAGAGATTCGATTGTTTCATGCGTTAAGATAAATTTACATAGAGAATAAAAAACTTCCGAAAACTCTTTGGAATGAATGAATGAATGAACGAATGTATGAAATAATAATAATAATAATTTAAAATATTTTTGTGAACGACAAAAACAAAGGTTTTGTATGGAAAACAACAAAGAAATTCGTTAAAAAATTATGTAAAAGTTTTTGACGTTGATGAAAATAGGATTAAAAAGGGCGTTAATTTTTTTAATAATAATAATATTTTCACGATATAAATAAAAGGAAAATTTTTTAATTTTTTTACAAATGTAAAAATTATATTGAATCGAATGAAAAAAAAAAAAATGTCGAGCGAATTAATTATTACGGAATAATTCATTCTCGTTTGTTTCTTCCGAAAAAAAAAAGTTTTAATAAATCGACTTTTAATTAGTTAATTTAAAAAAAAAGAAAAAAGAAAAACAACAACAAATGTATGAATTTTTTTTTAACGAGAAAAAAATTATGGAAAATAAATGAAAATAATTTTTAAAAAAAGAAAAAGAAAAAAGAAAAGTTAAAAAAGAAAAACTAAAAGCTTTCGCAAAAAAAAAGAAGAGAAAAGAAAAAACGTAATTAGAAACTTCGATCATAAATTTTATTTCATTTAAATAAAAGGAAAATGTAATTCGGGTTGTCTATATTTTTTTCTTTTTACGCTTTTCGACAAAAAAAAAAAAAATTAAATTAAATAAAAGAAAAAGAAGAAGAAAATGGCGGGAAGGGGTTGATGGGGGTGAGGAGGTAGTGGAATGATGGAAACAATAGAAAAAAAAAAAGAAAAATTTAATTTTTTGCGCGTAGAAAATGACAGACAAAACACGCATCATCCTTTTTTTTAAGTTTTTTTTTTTTTTTCTATTGACACGAAAAAAAATAATTGTTCGATTGAGAAGGAAAGAGATAGAAAGATAAAGAGAAAAAGAGAAGGAAAGAGAGATAGAGAAACAGACAGAAAGAGAGACAGAGAAACAGAGAGAAAGAGAGAGAGAGACAAAGAGAATAAGAGAAGGAAAGAGAGATAGAGAAACAGACAGAAAGAGAGACAGAGACAAAGAGAATAAGAGAAGGAAAGAGAGATAGAGAAACAGACAGAAAGAGAGACAGAGAAACAGAGAGAAAGAGAGAGAGAAAAAATTCGATTTAATTTATTTATTATTATTCATTATAACTTTATAATCATTAGTATTTTTTTTTTTTTTTCAAACCGGAAGTTGATTATTGAGGAAGCCATGTTTGTTTTTTTTATTATATTATATTTATATTATTATTATTGTTACGAAACAACTAATCGAAATGCTTTCATTGATTCGTATCATAACTGAAATTTTAAAAATATAACACAAAATGACAAAAAATTTTGTTTAACCTTTTTAAAAAATTATTATTAATACAATTATTATTATTATTATTATTATTATTATTATTATTATAAATATTATTCTTATTATTATGATTTATATTTAAAAACGTGATAAATTTAGAAAAAGACTATAATGAAAATCCACGAGTAAAAATTTTTTGTCATTTTGTCAAAAAAAATTTTTTTTTTTTCGTTTAAATAAAATTAAAAACTAAAAAACTTACCTCCGTAATTAGGCCTTACTCTTTTATCATAACTAACGCTAAATGAATCCAAGATGGCGGAGATATTGACATCACCTAACATGCCTCCACCTCCGGTTCTGTAACGACAACAAAAAAAATTATCATTATCATTATCATTATCATTATCATTATTATTATTATTATTATTATTATTATTATTATTATTATTATTATTATTATTATTATTATTATTATTATTATTATTATTATTATTATTATTATTATTATTATTATTATTATTATTATTATTATTATTATTATTATTATTATTAAGTTAAATTTGTTCTTGGGAGGGCGGAAAAAAAAATTTATTTCGTTAATTTCTGTCCTTATTCGATCAATTTTAATTTAAGCGCCGTATTTAACCAAAAAAAAAAAAGAACACAACAACAACAAACAAAACCTGGAATCTCTAAATGATGGAGAAAATAAAAACTGGAAAAGAGATAAAAAAAAAAAGGGAAAATCAATCGAACAATAAAAAAAAAACAAATTTAAACGTTTTCACAATTTATTGATACGAAAAAAAAAAAAAAAAAAAAAGAAATTTTATTTGTAAATAAAAGACGCCGGGGTTTGGGGGGAGGTAAAGAGGGGCAGAGGGGAGAGAGGGAGGATTTTAAAAAGAACTTTGGAAAATTAAATTCCACGAGATCATTGTCTGGAGAAAATTTAATAATAATAATATAAATTAAATGAAAATTTTTATAAAACGAAAGGTAATTGAAAAACACGACGAGTTCTTTTTTTTTTTTTTTTATTTTCCACTTATTTCTCAAGAGAAAATTCATTTAAAAAACATAAATTTTCCTTTTTTTTCCGATTTTCAAAGGAAATCGAATCTAGGAAATTGTATATAATAAAAAAAAAAGGAAAAGTTTACGAAGGAATAATAATAATAATAATAATAATAAATTAAACACTCATTTAAATTGTTTAAAATATTTTGTGCAATCGATCCATTTCGAATTTTTAAAAAATATTTTTAAAAAAAAATTAGGGAGAATCGAATGTGAATATTTTTAAATAATTTGTTTGTTAAACCAACGAACAAACGAACCAACAAACAAACAAACAAACGAACAACCAAACAAAAATCGATAAAAACAAAAAACAAAAAAAAATGTACAATTTATTTTAACGTAGTATCTAAATGTAAAAGTTTTCAAAAAAAAAAAAAAAAAAATGGCGTCGGCGTAATTTAAATAATGTTTTTTTTTTTTTTTATTTCGTCGAATTGGGACTCCGACGGGGATGGGTAGAGAGTAGAGAGTAGAAAGTTTTTACTTCGTTTGTGCTTGATGAATTTTTTTTTTTTTTTTTTTACATCCCGCGGGATCATCCCGACCATCGTTTAAAAGCAAACGTGGGAAATAAGTTAAAGAAATCCAGAGAGACGTTTAAATAAAATGTGTGAGAGAGAGAGGAGGGGAGGGAGGAGATAGGGATGATTGGGAAGGAAGTGAGGGGTGGACGGAATAAAATTTCCGTGAAAATTTCCATAAAATAAAATTTCAAAAATCATTCTACAGGATTTTCCGGTAAAATCCCGAACACAATAATAAAAAATTGATGATTGACGTTTTTCATTTTTGAAAATCATTTTCTCCGAACCGGATAATTAATCGGGTGGGGGGGAGCGGGGAAAATACCAAACAAGTCAAAATGAAATTTTTTTTTAGTTATTTTAAAAAACGGAAATGTAATAACCGCCGAGTCTACTGCCACGTAAAAATTTACACTAGTTCCTTTGAATAGACCTACTAAAAAGTAATTTTGAGAAGGCACACACACACGTGGCTCGTCGTCAAATGTTTTTACGGATATCGATAATAATGACACGTCATAATTTTCTCATTTCCTGCTGTTTTTTCGGGATAAATTTTTTACGATGCGAACAAAAAAAGGAAAAAAATTTATTTTCCTTGAATCGCCATTAAATTTACCATCGAATAAAATTTTACGAAAAAAAAAAAAAAAAACAGTAAAATTTACAACAACAACAACAACAACGACAACGAGGAGGGGGAGGGAAAAAAAGAAAATTTTTTTCCTTCCTTTGTTTGTCGATGAAAATAAAAGAATAAAAAAAAAGAAAGAAAGAAAGAAAGAAAAAAGGATATAATGAAGTCGAAGAAAAGGAAAATAGACGGACTAGAAAATCGATATGAAATTTGTTTTTTATCATTTGATAGTTAACGTCATTGTCTCTCTTCTGGATTCTGACTGGATGCTGGATGCTGACTGGATGAAAAGATTTCATACAGTTTTCAAAAAAATTCGTTTTTATAATTTTATTTTTATTAATGCATTTATTTTAAGGACATGCATCTCTTCCCCCTCTCTCTCTCCCTCTCTCTCTTCCTCTCTCTCTCTCTCATTCACTTCGTTTAAACTCCCTCCTGGAAAATTTTATTAAAAAAAAAATGATACAAACTCAAATATCAAACGATTCCAATTTTTTAATCTTTTTCTCAAGTCCTTTCCAAAAAAAAAAAAAAAAAAAAAAAATAATCGACGTGTTACGTTTCACAATACTTTGTCATGTGGAAAAAAAGAAACAAAGAAAAAATATTTTTCAAAATGGCGGAGATCGATAAATAAAGATTTTTTGTTTTTTTAAATTTAATTTGATTGGTCCAGATCGTTCGGTTCTTAAAAAAAAAAAAAAAAAAAAAATTTAATTCGATAACGACGCATCAAATTAAATTTAATCAATTGAAAATTTTAAAAAAAATTTCTTTTTTTTCTTTTTTTTAAAATCCGCCATTTTGTTTTTAATTTTTTTTCCCCCTAGAAAAAGTTTGAGACGTTTTTATACCACACGTCGTCGTCTTGTTTTCAATCCTTGCCAAAAATAATTTTCTTATATTTTTTTCCCCTTTTCCTTAATTTTTTTATATTTTTTTATGTTGTTCTTAATCATCATCATCATCATCATCATCATCATCATCATCATCAACATCAACATCAACATCATCATCAACATCAACATCATCATCATAACATCATCATCATTATTCTCATTGTAAAATCGAATAGAGTTTGTAATTTGATTGTTTGCAAATGAAACACATTTTAAATGGATACTTTTAAGGTTCGAAAAAAGCGGAAATAATTTAAAATGGCAGCCATTTTGAATTTTCAAAAGTTAAAAATTAAAAATAAAAAATCCGTAATTTTTTATCATTATTTTTAAAAAAAAGTAGTAATGGTTATAATCATAATAATAATATTAATAATAAATGTTGGTTGTGGCGACGGTGGCGATGGTGGTGGTGGCGGTAGGAAATAAAATTTTATGAAAAATTATTATTATTATTTTTTATTTTTATTTTCGATCGTTCATGTTAAGCAATTATAATCGTCTATGGTTTTTTTTTTTAATCGATTCTTTTTATTTTATTAACGTTTCATAACTTTTTATTTTGTAGGGTTAAAACGATCGGTTTAATTACGTCATCATAACGAAAAAAAAAAAATCATAAATGTTTTTATTTTTCGGTTTATGAAAAAAAAAAAAATAATAATATAAAGTTTTTTTTTTGATTCGATTGATCGATAGGATGTTTACGAGGAAAATTCGCGTCAAAATAATAATAATTATATATAGAGGGCGCTAGTGTGCAACTGGTTGACACGCGTTCACATCGTGTCAATTTTATTTAATTAATTTTAATAGTTTTATTTAACGATTTAGTTATTAATTATATATCAAAAGTTTTGCAATTTAGTCTAGTTTATTGTGATGTAATTAGTTTTTTATATTATTTAGTAATAACTGTATTATTTTTTAGTTTAAATGTGCAAATGGTCAATGGATCAAGTGACAAAAGGAAGCGTGGGCACTGCAAAAAACTTAGAAGATACCTCAGTACATCTGATTATCAAGGTAAGTGTCTTATTTTAATACTTTTTTTGACTTGCAAAAATTTGACTTGATTTGATTTTCACTTGCAAAAACGTTTGTCTAACAAAAAAATGATGCCCAAATACCCCAAAAAACAAAAATGTTGCAAAATTTTACATTTATTTGGTTAATTATAAGGAGGTTAACTATAAATATGTTTTTTGTCTCATTATAAAAAAAAAACAATAATTGAAGTTTGAATTAATATTGATTGATTAATGATTGATTTGATATATATTAACAAGAGTGTATACAAATTTCTATACTCTCTTATTTTTAAGGGTTGATTTACTGATTGTTGGTTGTTTTAACTCTGTTCTTGAGTTAGTTTGTCTCATTACAACACGGTTGATTATATTGATAGTGTGATACTCTATAAATCTGAATCAAAATCAGGAGGAATTGGGTAGCCTCTATGTTATTTGATTATGAGTGTAAGGAATTATGAAAAGACACAATGGACTCCATTTAATAATTGTACTTCCCTTGAACTGATTATGAGTAGTTGTGATAAATACCTTCTGTCATACTAAACAAAAATAGAGGTAGTTTAATAATTAAAATATTTGTAATTAATTAATTTATTGCATCAGGTGGATGTAAAATCTCTGTACTCCTGCTTTAAGTGTGAATCTATTGATTGTACATTACTTAAACCCTTTTCTTAAGTTAGTTTGTTTCATTATGGCATATTTTGTCATATGTTTAGTGTAAGATTCTCTTTTAATATCATTTAAGATTAAAAAAATTCTGAACTGCCTTTAGATTACTTAAGTTTATACAGGTACAAAATTGTACTTTGTATACTGTAATTGTATATGTATATACTGTGCATACATTAAGGATGGAATGCATGAGGGAAAATTTTAAAAGGGGGAAAGTGTAGGAAAATTAAATATTGAAAAAGTTTTAAGGAAAAAGCATATAGTATTTTACCAGGAAATTTTTAAAAATTCACGCCTCTAAAGATAATGATGATTGATTCATAATTGTAATAGAGCAAAATGAAAACAAGACAAAGACAGAAAATCATCAGGCATGCAACGTCGCTGTTATTCAGACATTTATTCCTTTGGGCTCGGCAGGTTGAAACCTGTTATAAATGTTGAAAAACCCTTTCTTTGACAAACATTAAGACGAATCGTCGTGTT